CTTCGCCTTCTCCTTCGCCTTCGCCTTTGCTTTCGCCTTTGCTTTCGCCTTCTCCTTCTCCTTCTCCTTCTCCTCCTTCTTCTCCTCCTTCTTCTCCTCCTTCTTCTCCTTCTCCTTCTCCATCTCCATCTCTCTCTCCCCCTCTCTCTCTCTCTCTCCCCCTCTCTCTCTCTCTCTCCCCCTCTCTCTCTCTCTCTCCTCCTCCCTCTCTCTCTCTCTCTCTCTCTCTCTCTCTCTCTCTCTCTCTCTCTCTCTCTCTCTCTCTCTCTCTCTCTCTCTCTCTCTCTCTCTCTCCCCTCCCTCCCTCCCTCCCTCCCTCCCTCCCTCCCTCCCTCCCTCCCTCCCTCCCTCCTCTCTCTCTCTCTCTCTCTCTCTCTCTCTCTCTCTCTCTCTCTCTCTCTCTCTCTCTCTCTCTCTCTCTCTCTCTCCCTCCCTCCCTCCCTCCCTCCCTCTCCCCCTCCCTTCCTCTCTCTCTCTCTCTCTCTCTCTCTCTCTCTCTCTCTCTCTCTCTCTCTCTCTCTCTCTCTCTCTCTCTCTCTCTCTCTCTTTTGCTGGTTTTTCTTGCTCAGGGGCCCCGTCATCTCTGTCTCTTTTCTTCTTCTTTTTCGCTCTTTTTTTTAAATGTTTCTTCTTCTTCTTCTCCGGGTCTCTTCATCTGAATCTCTCTTCTTTTTCTCTCTTTCTTGCTTTGTAGCTTTCAGGGTCTCTACGTCAAATGTTTTCTTATCTTTTTTTTCTTTCTCTCCTTTTGGCTTTCTCTCTTTCTCGTTTCTCTTTTCTTTCTTCCATGGTTGCTATCTCTCTTTTTCCTTCTCCTTTTTCCTCTCTTCTTTCTTGCTTTCTTTCTTTTGCTGTCTCTCCATCTCTTTCTTTCTCTCTTCTTTTTTTTCTTTTTCTTTCGATATGTCTTCATCCTTTCCTCTCTTCTCCACTTTTCTTTCTTTCTTTCTTTCTTTCTTTCCTACTTTCTTCCGGTGTCCTTCCATGTCTTCTTTCTCTCTCCTCTTGTCACTGTTTTATTTTTAGTTTTATATTATTTTTATATCTCCTTCTCTTCAGGTTTAATCATCATCGTGAGGTTATACGAGTATGCCATCGTGTATATCTTCTTAACTGGAATATATATCGTAGAAAAGCTGTATTTTTATGCGAGATTTTATGAAAGGTTTTACTGTCTTGCATATATTTTTACAGTGTGATTTTGTCACTTTATCATTTTCTTCATTTCTGTAATCATTGTTTTATTCTTACTGTTAACAGCTTTGTTAATAAAGCTTGGATGTGCCTGGGTTGTTTCATAATATATATGCGTTTGTATATGTATACATAAATGCATATACATATACATATGCATATGTATGTATGTGTATATGCATATGTATATGTGTGTATGTATGAATGTATATATATGTATATATATGTATGTATATATATATGTATATATATGTATGTATATAAATATGTGTGTGTGTGTGTGTGTGTGTGTGTGTGTGTGTGTGTGTGTGTCTATATATATTGTAATCTGCACAATCTGACAATCGGGAATTTAGTATATGAAGCAGAAACATCCAACAGCATGTATGAAACCTCACGGTCCATTATAGCAGATATGAGTCGGTTTAATTTTGCGATTCCCATTCGGTGTAAATCCCATTACCCATTTCGAATTCATTTAAATCAGGGTTTCAACTGCAGGTTTCGAATTTTAGAAATCGGTCAATTTCAATATTTCGCCATTTCCGGGACCGCGGCTGTCATTGGGGAGTGATTATATCTTTAAATTCAGCGGCAGTTTTTTTTTTTTTTTTTTTTTTTGCATTGCATTAACCCAAGATAAGGAATCAATCTTGGGAAATGAGATTCGTATAGTTAACAACAGATACATTTGATTTCTCTGGCGGCTAAATATGCTTCTCTTGGTGACTGAAGAAAAATACTGGTTTTATAATAATGTTCAGTGACAAGAAATGATCACATTTTACAGATAATGCCTAGTATTTCTTGAGTTATGAATTGACAAGGCGCTAGAAGAAAACGAGCTAATTTACATGGATAGTGAACTACAAATACTAGACTTCATCAGTCGACATTCGAATGGTTGATTAATATTCTATTTTTAATAATATCTTCACTGTAACTTTCATTATGAAAATTATAACTTTCATTGTATACATAATGTCATTCGTTGATATGATATAAACGCACAACTGCCCTAGTGAAACAGTATGCCTGCGTCCCTTATATGATTTTATCTCCATTCATCTTCCTAATGACAGGTATTGCTTTTAGACTCAAGACAGAAGTCACATAGAATGTATTCGTTTTTCACTCCCTCTTTTTCTTTTCCTTCTTTTTCATTTCCTTTGTTCTATTTCCTATGTCATTTTCCCTTTCCCTTTCTCCTTTTTTTTTCTTTTTCTTTTTTCTCCTACTTCTTCCTCTTTTCACAAAAAGAACCCGTGCTCAGCCGTCTTGAATTACCAAAGTTGATCTCTTCCAGGTCGGTAAAAATGTCATCTACCCCAACCTGGGCCAATTCGTGGAGGGTCAGAGCTCTCGGCGGGAGATCTCTTACTACCAGTGGGTGACGTTCTTCCTCCTGATCGAGGCGCTGGTGATCTACCTCCCGCGGCAGATCTGGCACCAGCTGACCCACAGCCAGTGCCTCCCCTTCGACTTCACGAACCTCCGGCGTCGAGAAGACTGGGAAGACAAAAAGAACTTCCTGGTGTGGCATATGAAACAGACGCGGGGGAACCACGAGTATTGGCTCTGGCAGTACCTCCTCACGGAACTCTTAGCGATCGCGCTCCTCGCTTCTTTCTTCATTCTAACCGACGTGTTTCTGGGTGGCGACTTCTACAATTACGGCCTGGATTGGTTCAACTTCATGCACAATGCCACCAACACGACCATTTCTCCCATGACGGCTCGGTTCCCACGTCTGACGGTGTGCAAGCTTCAGTACCACAGCCGCGGAGGCACCATCAACAGCTACTACCCCCTCTGCCTCCTTCCTATCAACTGCTTTAACGATAAAATTTTCCTGTTCCTCTACTTCTGGTACTGCATGTTATTCGGGCTGTCTCTACTGCGAGGGCTGTACATGCTAGTGCTTCTTACCTGCAAGCCAGCCCGTCGTCTACGACTGAAGTTCAGCGCTAAATTGGTGCCCGAAGATACTTTGGATCGGTTCATTAACGCACACAACCTCAGTGACTGGTTTGTGTTGTGCAACCTGGCGCCCACCATGGACCCTGTACTAATCGCTGAGCTCGTGACCCAGCTTGTGTACGAGGTGCAAGGGGGAGAAAGTTCCGATTCCAAACCGTCCCGCCTTGGTAAGCAAGAGAAATCGCTACAGTCTGTAAATTACATATGAGATTCAGCGCCGCGCGCTTCCCCACACTCGCTCACACACTGCCTTCCCAATGGCCATCCCAATTACGGATGCCGCGCACACCTGCTCCCGTATGGCCAGTATCATAATCGCTACACGCCCCAATACGGGCACGGCAATGGCTACTCCAACGGCCACTGCGAGGCGCTGTAAGTGTGGTTGGCTCCTGCCTGGCCTCTGTGAGGTCTTCCACCCCTCAGACCTGGGCCATGGCGGAGCACAGGGCTCGGCCCAGCCCCCTCTGCCATGTCGACACTCGGGGCTGCAGAACCGCACGCAGGGGAAGGCGCCGCGCGACTCTCATACCACCACACCACCACCTGGGGCCCGCCGCCCACCACGCACGGGGTGAACCTTCCGGCCGAGACACTGTGGGGATGGTGGGCCGCGCAGCTCCACCGGAGAATCAGGAAAAGCGACAGGAACAGCAGCAGAGCAGAACAAGAGCGTGGCCGAGCCCTACGCTTTGCCATGGGACCTGCCGGCATGATGCAGGCCAATGGGCGCTCCCTCGCCAGGGCGCCCACAGCAACACTCCAGGCCCGTGCAACACCCGCACTCTGCGTTTCCAACAGGGGGCCTGTCACAGTGATAAATATCATCATTGAAATTATAATCTGTTTGTTTTGTTACTGGCATGAGTCTACAGGAAGATTCCGCAGAGGTCTTGTCACTGCTGCAGAAGCCACGATTTGCTATCGGTCGGCGGCTCTTGTTAAGTCGAGTTTTTTCATATAGTGAATCTAATCTTTAAAAGACTGTTGTGTGTATTTTATATGCTCGTAGAAATTTTGTTTTGCTTACTTATCTAAGCTGTGTAGCTGACTGGTGATACTGCAAGAAAAAATGTTTTCTGTATATTGAAAATTAAGTCAGTATTTCAAGTATTCTTCAGTATTAAGAATGAAAGAATATATACCAAAAGAAATAAATATATATATAAATATATATAAGTTTTGCTATTCATTTCGCGTGTGGTCTCTCATAGTGCTTCTCATTTATGAACTCAAAAACAGAAACACAGTGGATTTATGCTACGTCATGGTTGTTGACATGCCACACGTATAGTTGTACAGGCAACAGTGTGCACCGTGATGACCTGACACTTGGCAAACCTGTGAAGCACCGGCCAACCACCAACGAGCCTCTGGGTCCACAGCCACTCACCCTGAACACATGAACAATCACCATTACGCCAAAGTCCCATAATATGACACATGTTATATTCACAGATCAAAACCATGAATATGGACAGACAGTGAGGAGAAAAAAATGAACTAAATGTGATCACGAAAGGGCTAAAAAAAAAATACATGTCTACGTGGATTTCGACCCAGAGCGTTGTGAGGCCTAACACAGGGGTTACCCCTACCACTGCGGGCTTCCTGCTTTCCAGGGGTGGTTCTTGAGGATGATCAGACACCCCAGCCATAATAGCGTGTGACTCTGCCAAGTATCTCACAGCACTAGGCATATTGGGTATCATGGATGGACCTGTGCAATTATAGATTTAAACATAAGTTGACGTACCCGTGGAGGTTCCGAGTAGTGTTTTAGAGTCCCCATGCTAATTTCTAGGACATCGACATAATGGCCGTTCTCTCCTTGTTAAACACTGCATGGAGGCCGGGGTGGCTCCGGAGGGCACCATGGCCACCCAGATCGGCCAGCTGGTGCCCTCCCCCCTCCACCCCTGCCCCCAACCTTACCATCTTACCAGCCTATGTTGTAGCCAGAAGTTATGTTTACTCGTCGGACGGGGCGTCAGACAGGTAACTTAAGTGTTTAGAGTTGTATAAAGCTGGTTGTTTTCTCTGATACTTTATAGAGACTGAAGACTTTTCTATTGTTTTGTTGTGATGTGCATATTTTATATGTACTAATGTCTTTTTTCGAGATAGGTGAAATCGAATTTTACTAGATCATATTTATGTTGTCTGTTCAATATAATGTTTATATATCCTTACAGCAGAATGTTATTAGTTATAGCTTCTTAATGGAATGCGCATTACTTCTCCATTATCAAAGAAAGTTACAGTAGGGAGTTGCTTGATACACACTTGCTTAGTTAACCTGTAGCTACTCACAGTTTAGAGCTCTCAGTACCATACCTGTCTCCCTCTCTCTCCTCCTAATTATTATTCCTTGTCTCTTTTACTCTTTCCCCTTTTGATCAACCTACAATGTGTCCCACAAACAGATGTGAACTGCATCTACTGTAGGCAGGGTCAAGAGGCCCTAAACTTGCCCCCTTGTTGTATATGTAGAATGGGACCTTTTGTATACAAGCTGCTAAAAGGCAATGGATTATCAGAAACTGGTGCCACTATTGTTAATAGTTCATCATTGTACACATTAATAATCCCAATATATGAACAATGCATCACCAATCTTAACAATCTAACAATGCAATCATATTTTATGATGTCAGTTTAAGACTTGTTTCAGTTTGTTTTCAGAATCCAGCTCTAATTTCATAGGTATGCTTTTTCTGGTATATTTCCTTTGCATCACATTGAGATACTTAATCCAATACCCAATTTTGCATCTTTATGTAAGGAAAAATTTGTATAGTTGCTCTTCCTACCATTATGATCTGCTCTTTAATTGGATATTTTCCTAACTTCTAATGAAAAGAATGCTTATATCTCATTTTGAACTGTTACAAAGATTCAGAGCTCATTCAGAACAACTCTGAACTTCATATCCAGTCATCTACATACTTTAGGAAAATGTGGCACCAAATTCTTGACTTATCCATAATAATCCTTGAACCAGTAGAGCTTCACAGTCAACCCTGCTGGGGGGGCGGTCAGCTGCCACAACCCTGGCGGTGAACTTCAATCAATGATGGCGAAGGGGCAGTAGCTACAACTCGCATTAAAAGCTGAGTTAGACAGCTCATAGTTCTGAGTATTATAAAGTGATTAGCAAGCGTGATGCTTACAGATTCACTTGATGGTGAGAATCGGCTGTATGGCACAGTTTTTTAAGGAATGAAGCTAATCCTAGCAAAACAGTATTGTCAGTTTTGTTGGTGAAGCTGCAATTAATGAATGTCACAGTCAACTTTGCTGGGAGAGGTTTGCAGATTCCAGTGACTTCATTTTTCAACTTTGCTAGAGTAGGCAGCTGCCGCTACAAACCTTACAGTCAACCTTGCAAGGGGAGTTAGCAACTGCTAAAGCCCTGTCTGCCCGGAGCATTACTCTTGGTTAGCAGTCATAGTTCCAAGCATTTGGTTCTTCAATAAAGTTGATTTTGATATTACAAATTGAAGTATTTTACACACATATATAAAGCACACGAAAATATTTTTCCATTGAAAATGCATAATGTAACAAGAGGCACTTGTTTCTGGTCATGTTATGGTGTGAACATGGGCCAAGAAGGCCTCCACTAGAAACAAGTCAAACAGAGAGAAAAAAAAAAAGGAATCCTGTCGTCTTACACATAATCATCAGTCGTTTACTCGTTGGTTGTGTAAACTCAATTTACCTGTGGGAAATTATTTTTAAAATAATATATGACATAGTTTTGATACAAAGAAGACTGATGAATCTTAAACTTTATTGAAGTGCTAGACTATGTAATGGGTCATGATTGGTAACCATTTAAGCATTTTAGATTAAGTTAATTGTGTCAGTGAAGGGGGGTAATTTGAGGAGCAAGATTGACTGCTAGGTAACGAGGCACAAGAGGGTTGACAGTGAAGGCAATGTAGAGGTATAATACCCTGAAACAGTTATTTGTTTGTAATTAATATGTATGAAGCCTAGAAAAAATCATTTTAATGTAACCAGGGTTAGAGCTCATTTCAGAGATAAAGAGGAAAATTATAATATAAAAAAAAAAGAACTTTTGGCTTGTGTAACATATAAAAAGGTGGACTGTACATCACAAGATAAAATAAAGATCCTACGGTTGTTTCCTGCGGTGGCTCTCCTGAACCGAATCTCCACCTGACCTGAGCAAGGAAGGCGCTGTGTGGTCAGCTGGTGACCCGGACATGGCGAATAGCCACGACCAGAGACCACCTTCATTATACAGCCACTTGGGATTTTAAATGAAAACTGTACTCTAAGTATGAACTGTTAGATATTGTAATGACTTGTTATAACTTTTGTGATCACACAGTAGAGGGTACTCTTTATAGTAACCAGCTCTATTTACAATTGCTAGTCTTCGGTATATCCTGTTTTTTTTTTCTGATTTTTCCTTTCTTTTTCTTTCTTTTTTTTTTAGGTTCAGTAGACAGAGACGTTGTTTTATATAATATAAACTTGGGTGATCTTGTGTGTAATTACTCTTGCTAAATGTTATTGTGCACTTCGGTTTATGATGAAATGTGTTGTATAGAATTGGTGTCCATATCCCTAACAAGGTACCAACCTTGGTATCATTGCTTTACCAGTTGGTCTTAGGTGGTGAATTATCAAGAAAATGCACTTTTTTTTTTTTAATAAACATACCTTAAATACAATTAAGTTTCCTATGTAAAAAATGCAAATCAGATTTTATGGGTATATATGATGTAGATAGAGTAAAAAAAAATCCCCTTGATGTATAAGTGCTGACAGAATCCCATGATAATTGAACCTAAGTATATAGAATTCTTTGTAAAATTCAGTGCAATAATATTTTAAGACAAAGTCAGAATATATGAATTCCAGAAGACCACTCAAAATACATGTTTATATGCATTACTTGTGTAGGTTCCTTCTGTATTAGTAAAAACTTGCTCTGTTAGAAATAAATCCATATGGGCATAACATCATTTAACAGTGTAGATATAAAATACTGTTTCAATTAATATTATTAAGAATTAATAATCACTAACAAAGAAAGAATATCTTTTAAAACTAGTATATCTAAACTGTGCCCATCTAATGAATGAGATTAGTGGTGTCGATTGTTTCAGACCATTTAATTTCCCTTAAAAATCTTAATTATCAGGCCTTATTTCACTCATCAAACATTATTTGCATTGGTACAGTTTCCAGATGGCAAAAGAACAATCACACAAACAAAAATATGGGGGGGGTCATCTTATCCCAATTACCTTCAACTTTTTATCATTCTGAACCCATTAATCTTCCACGTTCTGATAGCTCTCACTCATTCCAGTAAATTAGGTGCTACACTTGCATTCCGGGATCAGTTTGTATTTCATGTTGGCACCACTGTACGTCTCTGTCTGTTGTTCCAAAAAATTGCCCCATTTTAGTCAGTTATAAGAGGACGAAGCACCGAATGTAACTTTGCATTTCTAGAGGCAATAAGGAAATATAGTTAATATACTGTAAAGTTCTCGTGTTGCAAATTTATTAAATAAAACTGAGAAACTGCTGTAATGTTGTTATTAAACCTTTCTGTTAAACACTGTGTTGATTCCATAACAAACTTTGAAAATAGTAATATAAGTAACTCATTCTTAGTTATGTGAAGATGCAGATTAACAAGCATTATGGCAAAAGACTGTACCTCTGCCTCTCATAGTCAGAGAGAGAGAGAACATAGGCCACTGTAAGGTGCTACTACTGACTGGTAGCCAAATACTTTCCATAAAGACAGTATGGACTTTGAATTTAGTAGAAAAATACACTCAAAAGCAAAGGATGGAGGTAATACAGTTTGGTTTGGCCACAGATGCACCTTCATATTTTTTTATATATAAAATTAAGATTTCTTAAAATCAGTATAATACTTCCATCTGTAATTTGAAACAACTGTCAAAGTTAAAATGTACACCATGAATATGGGAGTTTAAATATTAATTATTACAAAGTAGCTTCAGTGAAAACTAACTGAAAGGCCACAAAAGAAAAAATATGAAGCGCTTTATGTACTTTAAACAAAGTACCTCTAAGCTCCTAAAAATGACAAGCAGGTATTATAGTACTTTGTAATTCAAAACAGCACTTGACTGTAACACATGAAAAAGTGAAATATAAAACATACCCTTCACAACCACCCATATGGTAAAAATAAACATTAACAATGATTATTAATAAATTAAATTCCTTATGCACTTGTAGTTTCAGCACTATTCAATATTTAAAGACTGGGGTAACAATTTTCTCTGGAAAAAAATGCTGCATCTTGATTAGAACTCTTACTAGTAGATGATCTGAAGACAAACACTGAAATGCCATAACTTGTATATATATATATATGTGAACTGTATGCCATTACTTATGTATCACTATCTGCTAAATCACTCCTCTAACATACAGAGCAAGATTTCTAAAGAAATGCATTTGGTTGAGACAAAAGTCAAACTGATGTAAGTCTTGTTTATTTTGTTTATGGTAATACATACTACACAACTGATTGATTCCTGAATCCTTTGACAGCTTTATCATCTATACAACAATCACATCCATTCAGAAACAATATACTATAGAACAAGGCATGGTATCACTTTGTAAAAAAGCTGTAAAGGAATTGTTGTAAAGACCATCAGAAAAATGGCATAATCAGTTTAGTCTACATGAAGTATAAATACATGTTATATTCCTAAAGAACTAAAATATTCATATGATAAAAGTTTAACCAAAAATGTCCCCTTCCTACAAACCACATTCCAGCCTGTTATGTAGATGCTTCACATCATTTGTAAAAATCACTGAGAATATTACAGGCTTCCCCCCTATCAAGTACATAATTCTAACCATAGTAAGTACAACAAGAGTAGATTATCTTCCCCTCTATAAAAACAAATGGCTAGTCTATTCAATTTTCCCTATACATGTAGACTTATGCTAAATGGGGATTATACATATTATATCTGACGCTAATATAGTGGTTTCAGGATTATTACATTCTATAAAAAAAGACAAGCAATATATTACATACTAGAATATGGGGTCATTTTTGTTAGAAGTTAGCAGCAGCAGCATATTAATTATGCAATATTCCAAAATGGTCTGCAATCAAAATGATGCCTAAAAGAATCACAAAATCCTATAAATGGACAGTGAAAAGAAGAAAAAAAGAGAAGAGGTTCCTTTGTAAGAAATACAAATAAAATTCTTCATTTACAAAATAACAACATGAGAGATTTATGATAATAAAAAAGGCTTATACCAATTGGAAGTTAAGAAATATAATACTATCTTACAACTTTGTACGCTTGCTAGGAACATAGTGGCTGGGGGTGCCGTAGTATGCAATGCCGGTTGCACAGCGTTCTTGCACAGTGGTGGCATCTACCTTAGGGGTACCATCTGAGGAACGCTTAGACACAGGGACAGCCAGGGGATCTCGCTGCTTGAGGATCTCCACGTCCTGTAGCACCACCTGGGAACCTCCTCCGGCCGTAGGTAGTATGTCGCCCTGCAGAAAGGATGCAAGTGTTTAGGGAAATAAGAAAATTCCAGATGCTATAGATGGAAGGTAAATGTGAATGTAAGCAAGTTGAGAAATTGCAAGAAGGTGGAAATGCCTCAGCACACAAATGCTAGTGCTTAGCCACAAAGGAGTCCATTAGTAGACCTTGTGACCTTACCTGATTTCACCTTTCCATGAACTTTTTTTTTTTACTAATGGTTTGAATATCAATGGTGTTACCTTTATTATAGATATTATAATTACTATAATGCTATAAACAGCAAAATAAGATAACGTAAAATATTTTCATAAATCAAGATAGGCAGTACTCATAATTGGCTCAATGGTGAATTAGTACAAGTGTAAAATAATGTAAATAATGTAAAAGCAATTAATAAAGTAAACTCACAGTGGGCATGGCATGTACATACATGCCATGCTTATTGGCTCTGGGTTAAATAAAGGAAAATCCTATGCCTTGACTCACTATCAGGGAATGTGGGTGAGCCAGACCTAGAGCATTCTTGCCCTGACACTTATTTTTTTGCAGGCATAGTGATCTTTAGTGATGCTTGCCTTAGATTTTTCTTATATATAACTCCATGTATTTATAACAATATTAAAAAGGTTTGAAGCCAGCCTAGATATGCCATTTCCAGTAGAGTGTAAGTGCAATATAACCAATACAGGATGCAGTGTGGGCAGTGACCAGAGCTGATTCTGAAGGCTGGAACCCAAGCTTCAGGAAATGATAAAGCTTTCAATAAAGACAAACAGTAAATGATGTGATTTGGCTTTTCTGATATTAGACAGATAAAAATAAATCAGTCTTGCTCCCTTCTCTATTCACAAAATAATAATTGATAATTAACTCTTATGAACTTTCATGAACTTAGCCCATTTGAAGAGCTGAGGGCCAGATCTAGACTAAAAATGAGAGTAGCAGAGGCATCATATCAAATATAACGTCAAAACATATCAATCAAATTAGAAATTGTGCCAGAGCAAGGATACACCAAGGATTTAAAAAGATACAGTAAAAGCACTCGGTATGATATGTAAACAAAAACTCCCTTTATCTCTTGAATTACTTTTCGTTTGAGGGGATGGCTAATTCAAAGTGAAAAAAATTCAAACTAAATAGTCAAACAATGCATGCTTTACTTAAATCAAGAAGCATGCTACAAAACACACATGCAAATCTAATAAATACATGAAATAAACTGTAAATGTGCATTCTTCAAAATAATGCAAAACAGAGAATCAAGAACAGAGGACATTCACAATATAATTCCACCACTTATTCTATACATACTTACCGTACTTCTCCATCAACTGGATGATATATGTGAAATTCAAGGTCTTCCCTTATGTCAGCTTAATTCCCTAGTATAAAGAATAGAAACAAAAATTCCTACACACAACCACCAGGGTAGAAAATGCAACCTCATATCAGAGCAAGAGAAAACTACCTATTAATACCAAATAGTTTCTATATCAAAAACTATGGCCTAACAGCAGACAGATTTCACATTCCGCCTGAACTTAGTAACTAAAACCTGTGATATGAAGCTGTTCAGGAGAAGTCAAGCAGGGCAAGCAACACTTCACCGTATCTCGTGAAGTCTACTGAACAAACTGAATTCTAATCTTACCCATTAACCCCCCCCCCCCAAGTAGATACATATCATTATCAAATAAAAAGATTGTAAATTCCAACCATAGTATTTTCCAACCTTGGAATCAAAGAAGCAAAGGGGAAAAAATAAGACAACACAAACCATCACTGTCACTGTCTTTTAAACATGCATTTGACTCACAATCCTTTATCAGCTGGGATGTCCATTGTCATTCTACTTTATCAGTTATGTTTACACAGATGGTTCCACAAGTGCTTACTCAACAAGGAGTCAATTACTTGTCCTGCTTAAATCACCTACTAACCCTTTCCCTTATTTTATGATTTTTTTCTATAGCTATTAATATAAAAGCATAATAACAAAATATTTCAGCTGAGATCACATATGGCCTACTAACTGACTCATTGGTGGCTGAGCATTTGTGGAGCCATCAGTATGCAACAAAATTCACACAAAAAAAAAAAAATCCAGTCAATAGTACATGTACCCTGAGCCCAAAGGATTAAAAGAAAAGAAGATGGCTACAGCATTAGGTGCAAACTGAGGAACTTTAAAGTAAAATGTTATTTTCAAGTGTTAAATTAATCAACAAGGAAAACTAAGTAGAAAGGGACTTATTAAAGTATGTGTATATATTCAACGGACTGAATAATCAGAACATCGTAAACAAGATCACAAATTTTGGCACTTACAAAAGTTTTACATCACATAATACACTAACAATGCAAAGCTATATAAAGACCAGCTACAGAGAAATAAAGAACAAGGACTTACAGATCACAGAATAGAAGCCAGCACAAAAGCACATGTTGTCCCCACTCAAGTACTTGCCAATTCATGTTCTATAAATGCACCAACATATAGAAGTGTGAAATTTAGTTAAGGAGGGAAAGTAAGCTGATTCTCTGCTTAAGGTATCAGTGATATTACAATCCATTTCTTTAAAATTATATTTTATATTTTCTAGTAAAATTTGTCAGTTTCCAGAGAAAAAAAATCGTTTAAACTTTAAAGAACATTTAACAGGCAAAATTATACCGCTGAAAGTCACTTTAAAAAATATTAATCTACCAAGCCGGTATAGTGTCTCACCAAGACCATACTGCCACACTTACTACACTTCCATATCCCTTTTCCAAAACCATTCCCCACATACCAATATCTATAAAAAGGCTACATATACAATATCTATGTGTAAAATTTCAGTAAACATCAATAAAGCTCATTTTCTCTCTGTAGGTATGGCTTAACAAAATTCTATAGATGGTGTCTATCTCTTGAGGACTACATGTGTTTAAGGTATCAGTGTCTGTCTACATACCCAAGGCATTATATATTCATACTGCTTGGTCTTCATAAATTACTACGTGAAAAAAT